AAAAAAAAATATCCTCACTAAGTTGACTTTCTATTTGCTTTTTGGAGGAAGTAAAACCAAATAAAAATTATTAAAACTTTTGATTAAAAACCTCGGTTTAATTTCGGTTTAACTTAATTCAGTTCAGCGTTGCTTCGGTTTGGTTTTCTTCTGCTAGTATTAAGATTTTGCGGTTCACGAAACTGAAATTTAAGGGATGCACATTTGAACAGATAATCGTAGCCCGTCCTATCACCGATTTCAAATTTGTGATCGAGGCGTTACAATCGAGCGTGATCGGCGATTTAAACGCGATCGCTATTCGTATGGTCGCTGGTGGATTCGGAAAAGAGTGTTCACGAGTGTATAGCAGTCGAAGGAGAGAGTTTCTAGAAGAGAGTTTGTCGAGGTTGCATTTGAGAGGACTAAGTACGGAAGAAGTGCAAGAGACTCCATGGCAAGACCTTGAAGACGAAATCGACCGTTGGATCAAAGCCGTAACTATGGTGTTTCGCGTTTTCTTCCCAAGCGAGCGTCTTCTCTGCGACCGCGTTTTCTCTGATCTCTCTGTTTCCTCTGTAACAGATCTCTCTTTCATGGAAGTTTGTCGCGGAACTACTACACAGCTTTTGAATTTCGCAGACGCGATCGCGTTAGGAAGCCGTTTGCCTGAACGTTTGTTTAAGGTTATGGATTTATACGAAGCGATTCAAGAACTGATTCCTAAAATGGAAACGTTATTCTCCAATCAATACTGTCTGCCGTTAAAGCACGAGGCGGACGCGATTCATAAACGGTTAGGAGATGCGATTAGAGGGATATTTATGGAGCTCGAGAATTTGATCCGTCGTGACCCTCCCAAAACCGCGTTTCCTGGCGGTGGGATTCATCCAATCACGCGGTATGTGATGAATTATCTGCGTGCCGCCTGTAAATCGCGGCAGTCGTTGGAACATATCCTTGACCAGACCGGGAACGAAACCGGATCAGACACAAGACCTTTGTCTGTGCAAATTAGATGGGTTTTAGAGTTGTTGGAGAGTAACTTGGAAGGCAAGAAAAGAACTTATCGCGATCCGGCTTTATGTTTCTTATTCATGATGAACAATGGGAAGTATATTCTTGATAAGGTTTCGGATAACGAGCTCGGTTTGATCCTAGGAGAAGATTGGATTGTGAAGCACACGGCAAAACTGAGGCAATACCATTCTAGTTACGGAAGGAGCTCGTGGAATCAACTTGTGGGATTGCTTAGGACCGAGAGTCCTTATCCGAAGTTAGTCGAGAGCCTTAGATTGTTCAAAGATCGGTTCGATGAAGTGTGTCTGACGCAATCTCAATGGGTTGTTACTGATAAGCAGTTGAGAGAGGAGTTGCAAAGCTCTGTTGCCGGAGTTGTGTCTCCGGCGTATTCGAATTTCATCAGCAGATTGAAAGAGTCGCCGGAGATTAATGGTAGGCGTGGAGAGCCGTTTATTGCTTATACTGTTGAAGATTTGGAGTTGAGGATTAAGGGATTGTTTAAGGAAAGCTCAAGTTGATTAAATTGAAACATGAAAGGAAAAAAAAAAAGGATTATTAATCGACAAATCTGTAAAAAAGGATTTTCTTGGGTGTTAATGAATCGGTCGTCGAAATCACTTTCTCTTAAAAAAAAAATCTTCGTTGATTTATTAGCTACATTTATTGTTCGAGATATTGATATTTGACTTATTGACTTATTCAGCAACAATGTCCTTTTTGATATGTATGCACGACTGAATATCTTTATAATCTCAAGTCATATTTAATGGTGTGCGACACTTATAAAAATTGAAAAATATCGATCAAAGTTATTTTTTTTCTATAACCTTGAAGCTATAAACTCTTATCTCCGTGCGCCTGATTAGCTTTTAGCCTATTCTTTTTGAGAAATACATTCTTCCCAAAGGGAATTGAACTAGGGACAATACACATCAAAGCTTAGAATCAATCTGATGGATCAGCTGTGTGATGAACTTAGGGACTAACAGAGGAGTCACATAACCAATATATAAACTTAACAGTTGAGAGCTTTATGCATCAAGAAGCTTGACTATGGTAGATTCGGTAGCACGAACGACGTGATTATAGGTGGCAAAGGAAGGATGAATAGCGTCAAAGAACATATACTCCGAGTGATTTGAACATAACTTCGATTTGGAATTACACAAGTCACCCGCTTCAAGATACCCTGATCCGCAACATCCTTTCTTCGTTTCCTTAAACCCTATACGTGAATGAATGCCCAAGAAGTCAAGACACTAGGGATATGAGTATGACTTGAGAAAGAAGCAAAAGAATCATACGTACCGTATTTGGAAGGATTCTGGATCATGTCCATCATGGGATCGTAGACATTTGTGTATACAATCTTGCTTCCTGGGAGAGACGTTTCAGTAGCAAGCACTAGCTTTTGTAGCTTTTCGTTGAACAAGAGTGAGTCTTTGTTATATCTTTCAATGCATTTTCTGAATATGCCCATACGGTGTTTTGTGGTCATTACGATCGGCAAGCACCCCATCGGCGCTAAGCCACCCACTGAAAATTTTCCGGCAACCTAAATTGTAAAGCTCGTACGTACACACATATATCAAGTGAACATTTAGAGCATCTTCATTAGCAGTCGCTCATTGAGTATCTACCGTTTTAAAAGATAAGAAAATGCTCTAAAAGAAAAACATGTTGAGAGGATTATATATGATTTACCTTGACAAAATTCTCTAGTCTCTTTAGCACGAAATCCTGGTAATCAGAGATCCTAGGAAACTCGAGGCGCCTTGTAGGGATATCATAAAAGTTCAAGATGAAATCGTTAGTACCCGCACTGAGGAGCACAATGGCACCATTTATGATCTCCATCGCTTTCTTCTCCCCTACGAAACCTTTGAGACGAGTAATGTAATTCTTGAACACGGTAGGTTGATATGAGACGGGGATGGCTTTGGTTGTGAGCATAGTACGTTCGTCAAAGCCTGAACCAGCGGATGCAAAGCTAACCCCGGTGATGATTTCTGCGTCAGAGAGGTTTGGTTGTAGAAAAGGAGGAACTAACTCTTTGATGTGAAGCTTGGAGGCAATAATGTCGCAATAGAGTTTTCCATTTGAGAATCTTCCATTCGCTGGTTTCTCTGGGATATCGACTCCGTAAGGAATATGGTTTGCCTTGAAGTTAGACTTGGAGTGGTAATTGTTGTTTCCCGTATCCACGGTTGAGTCTCCGAAGATTAGGATCGCCGGGGCGAGTGGTTGTGTCGCAGCGTTTTTAGCTGCGTTACAGGACGCACCTAGAGTTATTAGGAATAGAACGGCTACTATGGTTTCGGAGGTAGACATTATTGTCAAATATTTGAAAAGTTGATACTGGTTTTATCAACTTTGGTGGATTTTATATATATATATTTGAATTTGATTTCTGTTGGATTAGTTTGTTTATCATTTGAAAGTGACAAAATAAAGGTTTTCTTTTCTTACAAAAATTGAATGTTACTGAAATCTAATTAAAGAGCTAATTAAGCTTGACC